CACACACACACACACAGGTTCCCACGGAGGTGAGGCGTGGAGGGCAGGACCCCAGGGCCCGCCACTCGCACGCTGTGCCCCTTCTACTGAGCTGCCCTCCCTGGACCTCACCTTTTCTGAGTGAGCCCTAAGGTGCTGCCTGAGTTAGTAGAAGTTCCGGGAGACGAGGATGCTGGACCCCAGTGACTATCGGGGGCATGTAGAAGGGGAGAAGGAGACAAGAAGAAGGAGATTCACGAAGGAGCAGGCTGATAGAAATACAGAGCTCTCCGGGCCTGGTGAGGCGGGTAGTCTGGCTGACAAAGCCCCCAAGGCTAGAGCAGCCCTTGCGGTTAGCTGCTGTGGGGTCAGCTCCTGACCACTGGGATGCGGACACCTGGGGGGAAGACTGCTGACATCCCAGGGGCTGCAGGGGCTGGTTTTCACAAGCAGACTGGAAGTAGTCTTCGCCAAGCAGTGCAGCATCGCAGCAACACCTGCACCACTGCCTCCGCTGACAAACAGGTGGTGCCCTGGGCCAGAATCAAACGCTATTCTTCCGCGTGGAGGGTGAGAATTCTACCACTGAACCAACCCCACCCTCCCTGCAGTAAAAAACACACCCACCCAAACTCGGCACCATTGAGTCAATGCCAACGCCTGGTGCCCCTCTAGGACAGGGTAGAACTGCCCCTGGGGGCAGGGGGCTCCAAGGCTGTAACTCCTGATGGGAGTACAAAGCCTCCTCTTTCTCCGTCAGAGAGGCTGGTGGTCTTGAACTGCTGACCTTGAGGTCAGCAGACCAACGCATCACCACTCCGCGACCAGGGCTCCTTATGGGCAGGAGCCAGGGAGAAGACCAGAGAGCCCACGGGTCAGCAGATGTTCTGTTAAGAACAGATGGTCTTAGCCACCGTTTCTAAGACCATCAAAAGGAAAGAGGTCCACGGATTCATGGTGGGAGTTTTTTTGAGAGCGAGAACTAGATTTTTCTCTCTCTGCTTTCCAGATCTTCTGTGATGCGTCTAGATCGTTTCAAAGGGAGACAAACCCACAAACTCACTGCCGTCTGGTCAAGACTGGCCTAGGGTGTCCCGGGAGGACAGGGCAGACCTGCTGCCCCCTTGGATTTCAGACACTGTACATCTTTGAGGGAGGAGGAAACCTCCTCTTGGTCCCCCGGAGGGACAAGGGACTTCAAACTGCTGACTTGGATTCCTGGTCCGAGACATCACCCACTACA